TCCCATGCCCCACACTCATTCCAAACCAATGACCACAGCACTTCCTCAGCCATGAACCACATTCTTCCCACTATGACCACACTCACTTCCACACTCATGACCACACCTCACTTCCACACCATGACACACTCACTTCACACCCTGACACACCCACTTCCACCGCATGGACCAACACATCCACAACTATGCCCAACTCTCACTATTCCACACCCTTGACCACAATCATTCCATACCAAGACCACATCAACTTCCACACCATGCCACCGCTCACTTCCACAACTCATTGCCACACTCTCTTCCACAACATGCACACTTACTTCCAACCCTTGACCTCACTCTCTTCCCCACCATGACCACATCCTCACTTTCAACATCTATGACCACACTCACTTCCACACCCTTGACACACTTTTTTTTCACTTCCAAATCTTTGACCACACTTCTTACCCACCCATGACCACACTCACTTCCACTTCCATGCCCCACACTCATTCTCCTCACTAATGAATCTCACTCACTTCCAGCCCATGACTTACACTAACCTACAAACCCATGACCACACACGTTTTCCCACCCTTTTACACACTCATTTCCACACCCATGACCACTGTGAGGGTAAAAGTTCAAATAGATAGGAGTTGAGAGGGAATATCTAGTAACATAGTTTCATTGCGGCTACTATGTTAGGTCAGGTCAGGTCTAGCTCCGATATTCCACCTTTTCTCCTCACCTTAAAGTGATAGTTCCTGATTGTCGGATGCTTGTTAAACCGTACGGTCAGTCTAGGCTCCCAAATCCCTTCCCCTCCCTCTTCCCCTTCCACCCACCCAGAAAGTTGACGTTTTGGGGCTCTGGTCAAACAGTAAATCACTCGACTCACAGCTCCAACACTACGTAAGTACATGCCTGCCTTTTATTCTAGAGGATTTATTGGTTTAAAAGCTTCACTTTTGATCAATAAATAAACATAGTCTTTTCAGCCTTGCTCTATGTTGACTTGTTGTAATAATCACCACATTCTTTTAAGGATCATACTTACCATGGTAGAGTGATTATAAAGCAGTGGGTAACCTGTCTGTCTTTTCAGCTTGGATGTCAGAGAGGCGGTCACCTGGGCAATCAAGAAGCAGTAACAGGAGAAGGGACAACGTCCAGAGACTTTCTCCTTTTGTATTGGAACTACCTGTGCACTTGTATGAAGGGCAGGACGTAACTCCACAGCATTTGCAGGCGGTTTAAAGAACCTGCTTTCCTGTCATCGTATAATAATACACGGCGATTCTCTGTGAGAACTAGCCCGGCGGCATGGTCACCAAACACCTGCGATAACTTCCCCCCCCCCTTTATCATGCAACGGCTTACAGTTTCATCAACAGTGTCACCAACACCAGACCCCTTGAAGATATTAGGTTGAGTTCAAGATGGTTATTGTATTCATTTCATTTTTCATTTTTCTATCAAATAGGATTTACCTTTCATGTTTTTGTTGTTTTTTGTTTGCTTTAATTAAATCGTGTTTATCTTTGTGAATTATTATTTCTTTTTCTATTTTTATTTTCTGAGGAGGAGTCACCATGAGTAATACTGTCTGAAGTTGTTACAGGGCTGAGTAAGCCTCACAAGTGGGGACCTTGCCAGGATCAACTCTACTGAATCAAGATTCAATCTCCATCTCGAATATACCATTGGAACCTTCAAACGCGCATACACAGGACGGTTACCACAGCCATGAGTACATCATTCTAATTTGGTAGGATATTACAGTACAGGAATTTAAAAGATTTGGTTGATTGTTAGTCTCAACTTTATTGTACAGTCAAAGTCCAGCAGGTTAAAATATTTAATTTCTGCACTTTTTTTGTAGCTTGAAACATTTTGGAGGATTAGATCTAGGGACCTAGATTTCTGTGACAACTTGTTTCATTGACTCTTTATTATACCAAGGGAACTGTCATAGGACACTCTTGATTTGTTGGTGAGATGATTGGGATGGTCAAGTGACCCCATTCTATTACTGTTTTGCTCGGGAGTCCGGCATAGAACCCTTCGTTTTCATTAATACTTATTGTTTTAACTGAAGCAGGATCGCAAGCCCTCTGGTTTATTTCACAGATTGATCGCGAGCAGGAATTGAACTCCGTTTTCTATAATACCGTTTCATTTTCCCCTCTGATAGTTTATGTATTCTTGCAAGTATGGATGAATACCAGTTTTGGATGGAATGTTTTTTATTGGAAAGTAAGTTAGAATAACAGGATAAAATTTAGAATCTTTCATTAGTTGCTAAGATCCAGGAAAGACTTCGAATGAGAGAGAATTGAAGAAGAGAAGAAAAGACAGCTAGAAAGGGAAAGAGAAGAGAATAAGGAGAGAGAGAATCGAAAGAGAAGAGGAAAAAGGAGAGAGAGAGAATGAGAGAGAAATCCGAGAAAGGACAGTTAGAAAGAGAGCGAGGAAGACCAAAAAGAGGGTGATGTGAATTGATCGTGAGGAAAGAGCTAGAACGTGAGGAAGGGAAAATAGCTAGAGAACATGAGTTAATAGGAGAGAGAAAAGGAATCGCGAGCTCGAAAAAATCTCGCTGTATTAGAGAATAAAAAGTTATACTTTCACACAAACAACAATTAGAGGAAGGGTATGGAACAATGGGCAGTCGTGCACATATTCAACACCTAAATTTACTCCCTTCAAGAGGGGGGGGTGAAGACATACCTTCTTAATTATCAGGATTTGGAAAATTACGTACCCTCTGTGAATGGCCTGCTGACACCTGGGCTACCAGGTTGGGAAATGTTATTTTCGGGTACGCTTGATATCTATGCAACTTTGTCGCAGGATATCATATGTAATTATAACCTACTGAAGAAGGCGATCCTTAAAGCATATCAAAAAACCACTAATTCTTACAGGAAAGATTTCAGGTATGCCCTTACGCCGGCCCAAAACCTTTCAAAGTTACAGGTAACACTCTTTCGTTTGTTCGACTTTTGGATAGAGTGTTCAGGAATTGATCACAGTTATGAATCTCTTCGAGACTTCATGGTTGGGCTGACCAGTTCCTGACAGCTCTTCCCATCAGATACGAACATTCTTAGAGAACGTAACCTGATTAAAGCTGAGGAAGTTTGCTGAGGCTGCTGACCTTTTTGCTGAGGCTCACAATTCCTATAAAGACCTTAAGGGATCGAACCCTAAGGGCAAGGGTTCATCGACCTTTAAGAAAATTCAAAGCCTCTAGGGGAAAAGTAAAAATGACTTCTTTTATTCCTGTTTGTCATTTGTGTGGTGTTAAGGGACATAAAGTCCAGATTGTCCTTCTAAGAAGGTCCAAAAAGTTGGAAGATGTTTTAAAGACTGTAATGACCAAGCACCCTTTGTTCAGGAACAGTAATGGACTTAATGTATCTACCATTTTATCAAAACACTGGAGCACTGTATAGTAATTTTTGATAAAGCTTTTTCCCTAACCCTTAAAAAAACTCATTCCTCTGTATATTTCAGACTACTTGGGCCGTACGGGAAATTTTCCTACCATCCTTGTTACATTAGGTCTAATGGTTCACAATTGGTCTGAAGCCGTACTAGCTCCATCACTTCTTGCTCGTACTTAATAGGTAAGTAAAGGCCTTCTTCCTTCTGAGGTTGACCCCTTTTATCACCAAAGATGGATTAAGTGTTTCAGATCCTTTCCCGTAGGGGTCGGAAAGCCCTCGAAAGTTCAGATGAGACAATGTCCCCGTGAGATTCATGTGGGATTAAATAAACCCGTGATGCTACTCTCGAAAGCGAGGAAATAGATCACCGGTTCACTTGTTAGATGAAAGTGAAGATTTCACCCCCGATACCATAAATGTCTTGACTAGGGCTCAGACCAAAGCCCATGCTTCCCCTACTGTCCATCCTTTGATTTTCCCTGACTTTAAGCCTTTATGACATATCGAAGGACTCCTTTGTCAATTTACAACGTAATTGCCCTTCTCTTCAGAATTGCCATAATTGCCGCCCAAACAAAAT